TCAATTTACCCATTTATTACCTAAGTTGCGGTCTATTTACAAAATTTAGGAATCGTTCGTATGTGATCACATCGATCAGTTTATTTGTATGTAGAATTACATACATGTATTGTGACTAATGCCGGGAAATTATGGGGAAGAATTAATGTCACAAAGTAAATTTTGTTCAGTGACTCGTTTCAATTACATCTTCTCTAGAATCATACAAACAGGCTTCCGAAACATTGTGTATTATTCAAAATATGAGGAGACACCTGGCACTCATGCCCGTTGTTCGTTTTCTGCGACCATGGATAATTTGAAATTGCCAAACACGGTGTTCGGTATGTATAGTTTATATTTTCGTTTTCTTTTACAAAATCCTTTTTAAGCACCACTCACCTCCTACCATGTGTCGTTGGATGTTCTGTTTCGCCGAAATTTTATTTTAAGTTAAATGAATTATTCAGCAATGCAAAATATTAAAATATACTCATTTAAAAGAATATATATTTGAAAATCAAGGTTCTGGCCCCCAAACTTGAGGGCCCTAGGCTGCAGCCTATACTAGCCTATAGGATAATCCGGCCCTGCATATGATACATATCTCAGCACCACTGTAATTCCTGTTGAGTGAGGTTACTCCCAGAGCATTAAAAGAGCTTAAAGGTTGGGGACTAGCAAACGAAGGCAGAAATTTGGGTACGTAGAGCTGTGACTCGTAGCTTGATTTGCATTAAAATCTAATAAAAACACAAACACAATCATACGTGCGAAGGCGTGAAGAGCAGGCCGAGAGACTATAAAAGACATCAAACCAATTCAACGAGATTTTTAGAAGCCCGTAACCTCATATCTAAAATACAGCATGTGTTTATAAGTAAGCTATTCCTCGAAAAGGGTATTTTTGAAAATCACAAGGGAAATTTGTGAAGGCAGGTAAAAATTAAATTAATCTGTCTGACTTACTACCCCCCCCCCCTCAAAAAAGAAAGAAAAAAAAAAGACAGGAAACTGATAATCACAAGAACACAATGAACTTTTTCACTGTAATCATTGCCGACAGTTGACTTTTATTGTAGTCTAATATACCGATAACCTTCAATTCCTTCATGCTGTCAGACAATGTTAATGAATCGACAAGAAAAACTCGTCAGATTCTTACAGAAGCAAATATATATTTTTGACAACAATGGCCTTAAAATAAATCCTTATAAAACACATTAAAACTTTTAGAGGCAGCCGATAAAGCATCACGAAGCTCTCCACAGACACAGTCATAGAATCCGAAGGTTGTCATGTCAGTCCAAGTATTTCAGTTAAAAATCTAGGAGTACGTACACACACACACACACACACACACACACACACACACACACACACACACACACACACACACACACGCACACACATACACACACACACACACACGCACGCACGCACACACGCACACACACACACACACACACACACACACACACACACACACACACACACACACACACACACACACACACACACGCACACACACACACGCACACTCACACACATACGCACACACACAATGAGTAGTGATGCTAAAAACGCCAGTGTACGCAATTTTTTTTCATGTAGAACTTCGTACGCCGGGTAGCGGGGACGATGAACCAATCAGAGGCGCGGGTTTTCAAATCCAAAGTTACTGTTTGTGATTTACAGTATTCCTTTAGCATTGGAAATTGAAAATGACTGCATTTCTTTGTCATCAGTGAAAAATATTATATCGTGCAAAGAGATTTTACATTAGTTTGGCCTTTCATTAATGTAGATTTTTTTGTAGGATGACAGCCAGTAACAGCGTGCGAAAAACAACAAAATTGATACGTAGATAATTAACAGAAATGTGTTTAAGCGCGAAATTTAAAACACAAAAAGCATGTGTGTGTGTCGATGTTTAAATTTGAGCGTCACCTTAAAGCTAGTAACTGGTCCGTTCAAGGGTATTCATAGTAGAGCACAAAATTATATGGTATTTTCCAACGGTACGCAGGGCAGGGGTGCCTGATCACTGAAAACCATCATAGGTGATAAACGCGTCATCTTTCCACAGCTGTGGAAAGATGACGTGTTTATCGCCTGCGTTTATGGTTTATATATCTTGTATATATGTAAATATGCATATGTGTATTACTGACAAATATATACTCGAAACCGGTCAAATATATTTCTTGCATTGTGAAGATATTCATTCTCATTCATACCCTTTCTACATTTGTCCTTGTTCATATAAGGCATACGAATAATAATAAAAGGGAAGATAAAGGTATTTCATGTTCATCCCCCAATTGTATTTTTAAACAAAACCGAAAAACTACACTAAAGAAATTTCCTTCAGTACCTGCCGTTTAGAATCCTCTGCAACGTACTGGTTCGAATCCATAATTAAAGGAACTATTTATTTATTTATTATTATTATTTTTTTTTACTTTTTATGTTTTAGTTACTTTCCATGTTTTACACACACACGCACCCAAATATACAT